ATATATATATATATATATATATATATGTATATATGTATATATGTATATGTATATGTATGTATGTTTCTCTGTACTGACTCTCTGATACTAGGTTAGCAAGGAGTCAGGATGTTCTTGTTGCTACTGACCTAGCTACACCAATGTAAGATACATGCCTTTACTCAGGTAACTGATTCTCAGGATACCATTTTGGGCATTATAATATGAATTTCTGGACCTGTGATAACTTGTGTTAAATTATATCCCCTCATCTACAGATGCTCATCATGAATTTTTAAATGACACCATGTTACACTGGTCAGATGAATGGTCTAATAATGGCATTTATCTGACTTTCATTAACTTGCTGTAAAGTTTCCACAATACTTATTTCATTTCTTTCATTGAGAGACAGGTGTTGTAAGCTGAAATGCTCTTGCCTTTTTGCAAAATGTAAAATGCCACTTTCAGTTGAATAGCCATCAAAAATTGTCCAGCTGCTTCCGTAGGGAAACATGCTTATTTTTTGCTTATTTTACGCTGCTGTTTTAATTGTTTTATGTTCCTTTATTATTATTATTTTTTTTAATTCTATTTTATGTTTTAATCTTAACTAATTTAATATCATTTTAAGGGGAGGGTGGGTTAGGCAATTGATATGTATTGGTGTTTTTAACTGTTGTAAGCCGCCCCCGATTGCACTGCAGAGGGGCAGGATATAAATAAATATTTATTATTATGATTATTATGATTATTATGATTATTATTATTATTCTGCTAGACATTCCTGAAGGAAGTGCCCAATAATAAAATTCCCTAGTCCAAACACTATCACTCTGTAATGAAATATCTTTTGACTGTGGTAAAGCACAGTTGTGATAAAGCACATTGCTGTTGACATCAGTCTACCCCAAATCCCTTGATGCAGCTTGTTTTTACAAAAGAGTCTGTAGTTCTATTCAGGAGTAGAAAGTGGGATAAAAGCAACACATTAAAAAAAGGGAGTGTAGCATCAGTTGTAGTAAAAAAAATCCTGGGTTCATAACAATCTGCTAACTTAGATTTCTTCATCTAAGCTTGTATATTGCAAACTGCTGAATCTTATTGTACTGATCAGATGAATGGTCTCATCACCTTTTATTCTATGAAAGGTGAAAGTTTTGAAGATGAGCCGGTGTTTGTTGTTGCTTTGCTAGAATAAAAGACATTTCTGAAGAAGAGAGCCTCCTTTACACATGGACCTTCACCATATGAGCTAGACCCCTAAAGATCCAAGTTCTGGCTCATTTGGACATTCACTATCAGAAAAAAATGTCCAGCTGCTTCCGTAGGGGAACATGTATATGCGAAAATGCCAGTGGTATTCCAGACACAGGGGGGGTTGCATACTGCCAGAAATAGTGCAAATTGAGTCCACTTTTAGGGTTAGGGTTAGTGCTAGGGAATCATAGGAATTGTTGTTTTTTTTTTCCTGAGACATTGAGCCTTCTCTGTCAGAGAGCTCTGATGCCACAATAAACTACAGTTCCCATGATTCCCTAACCCTTAAAGTGGACTCAATTTGCACTATTTCTGGCAGTCTGCAACCCCCACAGTTTCTGGTTGTATTTCTAACCTTATGAAGGCATGTGGATGTTAGCTGTGCCTCTGTCTACTCTTCTTGTTTGGAAAACAAACACCTCCTAGTATGCTCATTACCTTCTCCTACAGTAGGAGGCAGTTGAGCACAAAGTTAAATGATTCAGGGGAGCTGAAAGAGTGTTTTCTTCTAAGGTAGAATCCCAGAGGCAACTGTGAGGGTCCCTGATTTTTTTGAAATCAAGAGTGGGAGTCATGCAGCACACCAGATGAGTTTGGACTACAACTCCCAGTATTCATAATTGACTATGCTGGCTGAATCTGCTGGTATGTGCAGTCCAACAACATCTGGAAGATTGCATTATTTTCACCGTTGCTTTAAAACCAGCATGGATATCCAAGCACAGGGTGTATAACTTACTCAAATTTTGTTGAATTATTCATAGAATCGCAGAATTATACATTTGGGAGAGACCTCAGAGGCCATCCAGTTCAACCCCGTCATGCAGGAACACACAAGCAAAGTGTCGCCAGTAGATGGTCATCCAGCCTCTGTTTAAAAACCTCAAAAGAAGGAGATTCCTCCACACTCCAAGGGAGTGTGTTCCACTGTTGAACAGCTCTTCCGGTCAGGAAGTACTTCCTAGTGTTGAGGTGGAATCTTATTTCCTGGAGTTTGCATCCTTGCTCCATCCTCAGTATGACACCCCTTCCAGTATTTAAACAGGGCTATCATATCACCTCTTAACCTTCTGTTCTCTAGCTAAACATATCCGTCCCTAAGGGCCTTTACAGACTGCCAGAAATAGTGCACATTAATTTGAGGCACTGCCCTGGCTCAGTGCTAGGGAGTCATGGGAATTGTATTTTTTTCTGAGACATTGAGCCTTCTCTGTCAGAGAGCTCTGGTGCCACAATAAATTACAGTTCCCATGATTCCCTAGCACTGAGCCAGGGAAGTGCCTCAATTTAATGTGCACTGTTTCTGGCAGTCTGCAAAGGCCCTAAGTTTCTCCTCATAGGGGATGGTTTCCACCTTCACCATTGCCCTCCTCTGGACATGCTCCAGCTCATCACTCATCAACTCCTTGAATCTAGAGGAAATCCACAATAAACCAATTGATTCACCTCTGCTTGATTTATCTGTAGCAGTTATCCTTTCAAAGATAACAAGATGCTTTCTGAAATGGAGAGACTTAAGTATTCCTTTTATATGTAACTTAAAATTCATGTTTTCCCAGGGATTAATATTATGGCAACATGTAGTCTTTTTTTTTTTTGGAGAGCTAGATTTTATGTGTGTGGGACAAGTATCAATGATGGTAAGTCATATGAATACTAATGATAGCACATTTAGGTCATCAAATGATAACTGCAGTAATCACATGGTTAACGTAATGTACAAACTCATGCCATGGCAGAGGAGTTGTACAAAAGCTACAAAGAGCAGTATTGAAAAGAAACCTTGCAGAAAGCAAAGTTCGGTTTCATTTATCTTTAATAGTCCTTTTAAATAACCTTTAAAGAGGAGGAAAATTATCAGTACTGCTTGATTGGATCCCTGAAAGAAGGCTCTTTCTGTAGACATTTCTGTGTTATATCATTTCTCGCTTTGAGGAAATGATAAAACTAGTAGGTTTGTAGGAGTAGAAAAGAAGTGTTGTATTTCCTGTGCTGCTGGACAAATTCCAATCTGCCCTGGTCAGCATAGCCAATAATGACAGTTTATGGAAGCTGTAATCCAGTAACATATGGAGGGGCATAGTTATTCACTGGGATCCTTTGTCCTTCTCCCTGCCTTTGAGTTACATTTCATACTCACTTAATATACTAAATTTTTCATTTTGCCTGGGCAAAAATAGTTGCTCAAATTCTGTTTTTCTGATGTTTCAGGAATGTTCTTAGTTTACAAATCTGCCATGCAAAAGATTGCAGTGCTAACAGTTTTGATATAAACTTACCTTTCTCCCCTCAGTTGTTTTTTCTTTGAAATTACACATTCTGTTTTCATGGCCCCATCCAGAAGATACATAGTTTATTGCAACAGTCATGCAGTTGCTGTACAGACTGCATGCAGGTTCATTTTCTCAGGAAAATGCTTCTGTTGTGGGAGGAAAAATGTGTTTTATCAATAGCACTAGACAGCTGTGGTAAACATGTAATAAAATAAAAGCACATGTGTTTCAAAAGCTGGTTTCACATCATGCTCTATAATGTATATACCCTTTAAAATGGTAGTACATGAAGCACAAGAACTGATTTAAAGATTTGGTTGCTAGCATAAATTATGTGGAAGAGTCTTTTTAAAACTTTATTCTTTTTAATTCCTTTGATTGGCGTTCTTAAATTATTTCCTTTTTTTAAGAGCAGAAAGGACTCAATTTGGTTATAGTGTGAACTTTTATATTGGCGACTCTATGCCATAAAGATACTCCTAAAGCCAAAAAGAGGAAAATCTAAAACTAACTATATAAAAAAATAATAGAGGCAGCATGGTGTAGTGGTTTTTGTATTAGACTTGGATGCTGGAGACCAGGGTTTGAATCCCTGCTCAGCAGTGGAAATCCACTGGGTGATCTTGGTCAGTCTCAGACGGAGGCAGTGGAAACCAGCTCTGAACAAATCTTGATAATAAAACCACTTGATAGGTTTACTATAGGGTTGCCATAAACAGGAAGGCCCACAACAACAAATTTTAAAAAGTGTTTTTGCATTTCATAGAGGATGCTGCCATCTGCTGGTTGTTTGGATGTATGAAACATGATACGATGAGGCTGTTTAATGTGTAATAAACTCTGGCCTTTCAGGTATTTTGGATTTTGGCTCCCAGAATCCCAGAACATTGGTCAAGATGGCTGGGGCTTCTGGGAGCTGAAGTTCAAAACACCCAGAAGACCAGAGTTTGGGAACCATAGGTATAATACTTGTTAATTGTAAAGTTTTGTGAACACATTTCACTTTACTTTTCTTTAAAAAAATAAACACCACAGTGCAGATAATTTACAGGCAGCAGCTGTAACTTCAAACAACAAAAATAGCTGAAAAACTTAGTCCCTATTAAAGTAAGAATCAGCCCCAGAAAAATCCTGCAGTAGGTTTGCCTTGGGGACAGGGATTTGAAAGCACACAACAAGAGTAAAATCCATTGATTCTGTGGATTTGCTCTCATTGGGAACTGACAAAGGGATTACTGTAAATACATGACTATAAATCGACCTCATGTATAAGTTGAGGGCATGTTTTGGGCTCAGAATTATGGATTTTGACATGACCCGTGGATAAGTCGAAGGTAAAACTTAGAGGCATGTAGTAAATGATCTGAAGAATGAAGCAAAGGGAAATCAATGCCAAAGAACTTACAAAATTGCAGCAGGCATAATTCTGTTCACAGTAAAGGCTGGATAGATGAGAGAGGAGAGGTGGTTGGTGATTCCAGGACATTCTTGCCTTTCACCAGGGAATGGTTCCTTTTTAAAATACAATACTTACATTGGCCTGTGGATAAGTTGGCTCACCCAGGATTTTGGGGTCAATTTTTAACTAAAATTTCTAGACTTATACATGAGTATATACAGCAGGTCATAAGCATCAGTAATCAGAAAAATAAATTACTCATTGCTCACCACCAAAAAAAAAAAAAAAAAAAAAAAAAAGCTTTTGAAAAAGCTGTTTTTATCAAGGGCTTGGGGAAAAGTAAAAGTTTGGATTGGACCCCTAAATGCAGAACATGCTTATTTCAGTCCCTTTGCTTCAGCCATTCTCTTTTATTGTTTAAATTAGGGTTGAGAGTCATGCAACACTCCAGACGTTACTGGATTGCAGTTTCCACCAGAGCAGGCAACAGTTGCTAATGCTAAAGGATGATTAGACTTGCAGTCCCAACAACTTCTGAAAGTTTGGGGGGGGTAATCCCCTTTTAGAGCTCAATTTTTGGTTCCCTTTAGTTATAGATGGGAGATGTGTGGCTCTTTAAATACTGTGGAACTACAAATCCCATCAGTACTAACCAGACCAGTGGTGAGAGATTATGGGAATTGTAATATGGTGATCTCTTTAGACTACATGTTCTTCATGTTTGTTTTAGGTGTCTCTAATAAACATAATTTACTACTTATCATTAGAAAATAAAAATTGTCATGCAGAAGGAACATTGAGTTTATGGCCTGTGAACTTTGAAAGAAAGTGTTGAGTGAACACATAATTGGTATCTCTTTTTTCTTCAGGCACTTAGATCAATAATGGACCTAACTATCTTTTCTGTGGCTGTTGTCTAATACTGTGGTGTTCAGGAAGTGGCAACAAAGTTGTGGTAATCCAGTCCAACCAGCCCCTAAGTGTGTGTTTTGGATCAAAAAGTAAATGGGGAGGGGGTTGGCTTTGAAAGGTATCTGTCAAAATTTATTGACCTTTGTTTGGTACCTGCTGTGGTTCCTGTCAAATATAATCAAATAGACAACTCATGCAACTGTCTACACATATTGCCTAATGCTGTTTGATTTAGGCAGAGCTTTTTGACCAAAAATATTGTCTCAATATTCCTACTGTGACTAGAATTCCAACTGTGGTGTTGTGATTATTGCTTTGCACTAACTGGGTCATGGCTGGCAATGTTATCTGAAGTTATTTTAAGCATCTATGAATTTCACAGAAAATCCAGCTTGATCATATATTATTTCAACATAAGAAATGTCTCAGAAATGAACCCCGGGGGACATAGGAGGTGTTGTTATTAAAGACTTGAAAGGAAGACTTGGAAAGGTCCAGCATCTTTAAGATGCTTGCCGGTTATTTAAAACCCTTATAATAGATTGAATGTATTAACCAGCTCAGATTGAATGCATATCCAGATTTCAAAAGTGGATACTAATATGTTTAACAGAGAGAGTAATGATTTTAAAGCAAAATGGTTTCCTTTAAAAAGCTGAATTTTTGCTTGGAGGAAGAAAATAAAGTAGAACAGAAATTGTGCTAAAACAAAGGTAAATTTGACAGTAACACAATTGAAAAAAATATGTAAAGAACATATTACTTCCTCAGATGCATGGAGTGAAATAGTGCCTAGGAATAGACCTTTATAATCAGGCTGTATGAATAGCCATAGAAGTCCAAAAACTTGGGGTTATGGGGAAGAGATGACAAGTTCAGTTTTAATTGTGACAGTTGAGGGGCAAGAGCAGGACGAATGATGTTGCCTAAGGCCAGGGTGGGTGGATAATCTTATAAATGGTGGATAGAGTTTTGGAATGTAGATTTATGCTGGCTGGGTTACCATAACTGAAAAAACTTGTCACCCCATCACCATATCCACAAATTTTGCATTTCTATGACTATTCATTCAGCCTGCTTATAGAGGTCTGTTCCTAGGCATTAGTTCCTTCCTTGCATCTGAGGAAGCTTATGCTACAACTTCTTTCTCTCTGTCTCAAAGTTGCCTCAAGACCCCTTTGCATATTGAAGATTCTGAAGTGTAAAAAGATATATAATTGAATACTAAAGTTAGGATTGCTCATGCCACCATATTTCCAATTTCTATATACTGTATTTTCTGGAGTATAAGATGACTTTTTAACCCTGGAAAAGGGTCTCA